AAGATCTGCAAACCTCTATCATCTATCTTATGGAAAAAAATATACAAAAGAAAGTCAGAAAGGATCTTATATCATCTAGTTTGGCCTCTTGGTTTATAAAAGAAAACAGGAGTCAAGAGAGAACCTACATAAGACAGGGATGGGGTTAGGTCATGTTCAAACATTGCGTTCTTTTAAATTGGTAACTGGTTTGAACTATTAGGTCAATTAACACACCATGGGTAAATTCCTATATCTCCAACATGAATTATTAATAAGGGAAAACATTCAAGATCCAGTTCTTGTTATAATTTAGCCACCATCAAATTTATACAAAAATTTCCCACCAGTACTACCATCAATTAAAAGAAGACTATCAAAGTTATTAAAAATACTATGAGGTGAAATCATTACAGAAATACTATATATTAACTTACACTATATGACACTGAGATGTCATTATAAAACACTGAATCAATTCCCATGGAACCATCACTGTTCTGTGTAAAAAGGGAAGGGATTCTGGAATTAAACACCCACACCCACACCCACACACCCCACCCCTATTGGATTTCAGTTCAAACTAATGGCACATTCAGCAAATTATATAATCAGCAGTACCTGCTAGCCATGAAGTGGGCATTTTCTGAGAGTCAGACAGTTTTTGCCATTCATATCGCAATGGAAGTGAACCTTCTTTTGGTTCACATTTTAGTTTAAAGTCATTTCCGATTTCTTCTGATCCATCAACGTAACATCTTGTACCCGAAGGCTTAACTGGAAAAAAAAAAAAAAAAAATATATATATATATATACAACTTTATACAAGAGAATGGAGTTCATTTTTATAATAAATACTTAAGCACACAGCATGCTGCACAGCCATTGACTTATTATCAGTTGGGCCTGCATTCAGAACTAACAAAAAGACTGGAAAGCCACAATAGGTTTTCAGCACCAGTTTACTCAGCTTCAGCTAACAAAAAACAGGCAAGAAGGAGCTCAGGCAAGCAGCAATTGCATTATGAGGAATGGCAACATAACAGGCGCAGCTGTGTCCCTCCATTCCACGGGGCACACTTCAAAAGAGCAAAGATGATGCACGTTAGATCTCAAGAAGCTTCCTTCTCCATTCCTTACCTATTGTTTTACTCCATGCTTGACATGTAGCCCTCTGGGAGTATGTGCCAAGTCACATCCCTCTGGGTGCTGCTACCCATCAATCAGAGGGTTTACAATACATAATTCTAGTAACAGGGACAATCTGCTTAATGCAGCAAGGACCAATTAACATTGCACAATTACATTAATTCAACGTCTTTCAGAGATTAATTTTATAAAAAGGTTATGTTCCAGGTCTCCCTGGGGAAATTGAGAGCAACTGCTAACCCCACTTTCTGCAGTTCACAGAATCCTAACACTGGATTAACACCCTATCATCTCACACTCCTCTGCTGGACTTCACTGAGGTGTAATATCCATACAAAAAAATTAGTATTTTAACCCACAGATGACCATTTTTGACAAGCACTACCCCAATCATCTTCCATGAAAGTTTCCTCATGCTTACTACAGTCACTCTCCCTCCCAAACTCCAGCCAGTCAGCCACTGATCAGATTTCTAACCCTATAGATTAATTCTGCTTCTTCTACACTCAGATACGAGCTCTGGTAGCATAGTGCCTAAGGCACTTGACTGCTAACCAGAAGGCTGGCGGTTCAAACCCATCAGCCACTCCTCGGAAGGAAGGTTGGGCAACCTACTTCCATAGTGATACTGCCTCGGAAACCGAAGGAGGGATCACTATGAGTCGGGTCCGGCTCGACGGCACATAACAGCAACAACAACAAAGACTCAGATAAATGGAAGAAAACAGCATGTACTTTTTGTCTTTCTTCTTTTACTCAATATTTTAGAGACTGATCCATGTTGCTGTATATACCAGTAGTTCATTTATTTTAATTTCTGAGTAGTATTCCAATGAATGATAGTAACATGTTTATTCACTCACGCATTCACCAAGTTATTAGCTTTTGAGCTCCTGCTAAAAGCCTCATCAGCCAAACCTACAAAGAGTAACCATGCAGTCTGCTGAAATCAGACTGATGACTCAGGAAAGAACTCTAGAGGACTATGAGGGCTGGGATGCCACTGGACAAGAGGAGGGATTCTGAAGGATTCTGAAGAGTCTAAGGGCACTGGGGATCAGTTCTAAATCAGATGCTCTTTTCCCTTCATCTGTTACTTTCCACTTTTTTTTTTTTTTTAAAAATAAGGGCCAACAATGCTTTTAACTACATTGCTAATTTTTTTAAGCAGAATTTTTTATAACATTGATCAGTTGCCAGGGAGATTTTATCAACTGTACTTTTAAATCAATTTTGTGAATTATTTTATATTGTGAGTTTTAACTGAAATAAATCTTGTTTGCTTCCGTTTTTTCAAACTACCAACAAATCCATTTACATGCACTAAGTAAAGGAAGGAGCTCTGGTGGGTAACACAGCTGGCTGCTAACAAAAAAGTCAGCGGTTTGAACCCACCAGCTGTTCCACGGAAGAAAGATGAGGAAGTCTGCTTCCATAAAGATTTATAGTCTTGGAAACCCAATAGGGGCTGCAATGAGTCAGAAACAACTCCATGGCAGGGAGGAGTAAAGAAGGCATTAAAAGCAATACTCTATATATCAAACACCTACTGGTAATATAGTATTCTAATCTTAACACTTTCTACTGAAAATTCCCCTTTCCCATATACCGAGTATATCCAATATGACAGTTAAAAAAACCACTGTTCAGAAACTCTAAGGCCACACTAGGTCTGGAATCTCAACATACTGCAGTTATAATAGAAGATTTTATCACCACTGGTTTTCCAGTGTAACTCTGGAGTGGTCCACCTGCTTTCCACTGGGAAGACACCATACTTTTTATTTTGCCCAACCCCATATATCACTAGGAAGATTAACTCTGAATCCATGGTAGTCTTACTGGAACAGAAAAGGAAGACAGATAAAACCATAAAGGAAAAATAAAGCCTTGTCCTCTAAATGTTTCTTTGGCCTGGGTTCCCAGGATGGCTGTCTGCTATACTCAGAACACTGAACTCCATGATCATTAGCATAGCCAATAGTCCTTCCCAGGTAAGGGTACATGACTGTCAAGTCATACCTGTACCAATTTAGTAATTCTGTGGTCCATACATGAATTGGATCATCATTCTTCCATACAAGTGGCCCAATCAGCCTATAGGAAAAACTCTTTTATGAGGATGTACTTTTATCATGATGTTATCCTTCCAGGAATGCCATTTCTGCTTGGTTCAAAATATCCTGATTCCAGGGAGATCCATCAATGGATGCTAAAATCAGTAGACAAAAATTTGACGAGAAACAGAGATGGAGGACTAGGCAGAAAGACTGCACAGACCATCCACAACAAAGAAAAGGGAAACCAATTAACACAAACACAGAAGATAATCTTGGGCCTGTGAGCCTTGAAGGGAAGGATACAGAAGTGGACTAAACCCCAACAAGCAGAAGAATTTGCATGAAAATACCAAAAAAGGAGACAGACAGGAGCTAAGGTCTGGCAGTGATCCTGATGACACAGACAGCTTGGAGATTCCCAAGTGCTGGCAGTATCTAAGAATTAACCAAAAAATCAGCCCTGTTAGCGAGGGACTGCATGGAGGACTCTGACTGGTGGCTGGGGAATAAACAGAACGTGAAGAGAAAGGCGGGCTGAGCTGTGGACTTTTGCCGGTCCGGAGGACGCCGCCCTTTTAAAGGTTTAAAAGCGGCTTGACTATTTTGGATATTTAAAGAGACAGTGCTATGGCAGATTCCTGGGGCTTAAGAACATGTTCTGCTTTCCAGCAACCCCAAGGACACTGTGGACGCTGCAAGACTCAAAAGGTACGACATTCCTCTTGTTACTCTTATAACCCACACCCGCTTGGTGAATGGAGGTGTGGCCAAAACCCACTCCCACATACCTTGTGGGCCCACAGGAACTCCATCACAGTCTGTGGGCTCAGACGGGTGCCCTGCCCTGTCCTCCACTGATTCTTTTTTTTCCCTCTTTTTTTTTTTATTTTTATTTTTTTTCTTTTTTGCTTTTATTTTCCTGGTGATTAGTTTGCTTGCATTTGTCTGTTTTAAAACAATTGTTATTATTAATACTTTTGTCTTTTCTATATTATTCTTAATCTTCCCCTCCCAGGTCCTAGTTTTCAGCATTTTTTCTTTTCCCTGTGCCTGGTTGAATTTTTTTTTTTTTAATTTAAAGTTTTTTTTTTTTTCTTCTTCTATTTTTCCCCTTTTTTCTTGCGGTTAACCGCGTTCCTTGTTTTTATTTTTGCATTTTTCCCATTTTTTTTTTCCTTCATTATTCTTCTCTACTTTTTGTAATTTGGTGGATGCAGTGGAAGACAGAATTAATGAGATTGAAGACAAATACCTGAATACTTCTTTGGAAAGGGATCAATCAGAAAAAAAAAAATCAAAACAAAATGAAGAAAGCCTAAGGTCCTGTGGGATACCATCAAAAGGAATAACTTACGTGTCACTGGAATTCCAGAACAGGAAGAGAAAAACAAAACCA